GGGTGGGAGGGATACTGGGATCCATGGTGGTGGGAAATGGGCACCGGTGGAGGGATGGGTATTTGATCATTGTATAATTGAAACCCAAGCACAAAAATTTGTAAGTCTACAATTGTACCTCATGATAGCTCACTAATAATAATAAAAAAAATGAATTGCTGCTGTCCAAGCAGTTGTCACAACACTGTCTCTCGCACACTAATTGTACTAATACTTTGAATTTGTCATTTAAAACATCAAGTTCCACTGTTACGTACCTATTAAAAGAACACACACAAAAAAAAACTAATTTGAAAACATTTTATATACATCTATACATGGATGTGCAGTGAAATAGTTCACTGCAACATTATTCCAACAGCCAAAATGAGTGATTGAGTGATGAAATGGGATCTATAAAGATACAAAATGGAATACAGTTTAGCAGTAAGAAAAGATGAAATCTTATCTTTTGCAACAGCATGGATGAAATTGTAGTAAGGAAAATCAATCAGAAAGACAGATACCAGATGTTTTCACTTATACATGCAATAAAAAGAAACAAAGCTAGGGAAAAGACAAAGCCAAATACAAATAAGCCTTTAACTTTCATCTCTGAACTGAGAATGACAAAGTGTGAGAAGGTAAAGGAAGAAATTCCAAAGCACTTCTGGGGGAATATTGGCATACGGGTGCTGAACATGTTGAAGAGAAACTGCACCCTAAAAAAGTTACAGGATTGTTAACCAAAGTTAATTCAATTGGGAAAAAAAAGTTAATATACAGTGTCTTCAAAAAAATCACATTAGGATTCTGCAAAAACCTAGGAAACAGAATTGTGTTGATTTAAGAAATGGTCTATATAATTAACATATGATATCACAAATACTTTTATGCATAAATATCATTTGTGAATTAGGTAGTGATTACAAACATTATTAATAGGTTACAACTATTATTTCATAGTTTTAGATAACAATGATTTTTATCATGGTGTAGAAAATATTCAGATATCATCAAATAGATTGCATTTTAGTGCCATTGAAAAGTAATAGTTTATACCACTGCTATCATAAAAATCTAAACAAGAGACATTCCAGAAAGCTAACCATTATTCAGTAGATATACAAATAAGATATAATCACAGGATATATAAAAGTTGATTCCACTTCATCATGTTTACTTATTCCTTGTATCTGAAAGTGAGTTTACTAAAAATAACACAATCTTTTTTATTTTTACAAACTTTCTTTTACTGAACTTTTTATTATTATTATTATTATTAATGAAACACCATGAGATACACTTGTAGACTTACAAACTTTCGTGCTTGGGTTTCAGTTATACAATGATCGAGTACCCATCCCTCCATGACTGCCCATTCTCTACCACCAATGATCCTAGTGTCCTTCCCAGCCCCCCACACCATCCCCCCCACCCCGCCCCACCTCAATGGCAGGACATTCCCTTTTGCTCATTCTTTCCTTCAGGGTCTTGTAGTTAGCAATAGAGGTACTGAGTGGCCATTGTAAATAACACAAAATTTTAAATTGGAACTATTGTCTAGCTCCATTGTCCTTTTCACTAACACTGGTGCCCATATAATAGATAATTAACTATGAAAAATCCTCTAACTTAAAGAAACAGAAGGAGGAGGGAGTTAAAGAAGCAAGCAACAAAAGCAAATGCGAGAAACAATGAAATCAAAGGCCAGGAAGATGATTCAAAGGGCTGGCCACATGCTTTATATTCAGGAGATCCGGGTTTGCCCCTCTGGCACTTTGTGTGTGGGCCCCATTGCACCACCAAGAGTAGCACTGTAGCACTGTCTTCCTATTGTTCATCGATTTGCTCGAGCAGGCACCAGTAACGTCTCACAACAAATTGTGAGACTTGCTGTTACTATTTTTTGGCATATCAAATATGCCATGGGGAGCTTGCCAGGCTCTGCAGTGCGGGCGAGATACTCTCGGTAGCTTGCCAGGCTCTCTGAGAGGGACTGAGGAATTGAACTTGGATAGGTCACATGCAAGGCAAATGCCCTACCAAGGGTGTTATCGCTCCAACCCATCACCAAGAGTAGACCAAAATTTTACAAAATAAAATAAAGCAACAAAATCAAACTATTTGGAACTGAATAAAAGACGCAGGCTATTATCTATATTAGAGGTAAATGAAAAGAGACAAAAGGGTTTTAAATGCCTCAAACTGCTTGACAACTGCTTCAACAACTAACTGCCTATAGGCAGTGTGAAGTCTTTCAGGTCACAAGAGTTTGTTGTTCCTTCCCACATTTATCAGATTTTACATTAAAATCTAGATTTTCTACTTTTCTTAAAAAATCAGAATGTTTGATAACACTGAGCTTGCATGAAGACTTTGCAAGCATGGCTGATTTTTTTTGGATATCGTGTACAGCTCTAGTCTGCAATAGCCTCTCCCTGGTTCTCTGGGACAACCTTTTCTTGTCTGTTTGTTTTCTTATTTATTTTTCTTGAAGATTATAACCTAAGTCTTACAGAGATTACAGTTATGGGAAAGTACCTACATTATAGTGAAAGACAAATTATCTCTGGAATGAAGACTTGGCATATGCTATTGAAATCAAAATTTAATAATGAACATATGAAGAATTTTTTATTCTCAGAAGCTGCAGCAATATAATAATGTCCACCTATTGAATTCTTAAAATTAGTCAAATTACGTGTTTATTATGCTAAGGTTATTATATGACTTGATAAGTCTCAGAGCTGCAGTGGTAAAGTCAGTATTTCACTACATCATAGAGCTTTCTAGAAAAGGCAGGTATTATAGTCACTGTCACTGTCCTCCATTGTTTATCGATTTTCTCAAGTGGGCCCAGTAACTCCTCCATTGTGACAATTGTTACTGTGTTAGGCATATCGAATACATCACGGATAGCTTGCCAGGATTTGCCGTACATTCGAGATAATCTCAGTAGCTTGCCAGGCTCTTTGAGAGGGGAGAAGGATTCAAACTCGGGTCGAACATGTTGGCTGCGTGCAACACAAACACCCTACCCACTGTGCTATCGCTCCAGCCCAGGTATTATAGTAATCATTATATGTATATATATATATATATATATATATATATATATTTATGAACTATGTGTTATAAATTTACAAATGAGAAGAACATGTAGCAATATATACTAGGTAGGGTACATGTTGGATTGTACAGATGTATTTGTGTATTTACATGAGTATATAAGTAGATATGTTATAGTCATATGCATTTGCTTATACTCATTATACTTTGCCCCCCCACCTGGTTATTACATATGGTATAACTTAAAACATTTTGTTTTTGATAATTGAAGGGATTAATTTGCCTCTACACCCAATCTTTCCTTTAGATGGGAAGAGATTTATAAGCCTTCCTGACCCATCCTGGTTTTCACCCTGCTCCTCTCCACACTCTGTCCTGTGATAGTGGAGGAACTTATTTATTCACTGTATTCAAAGGAGTAAATGGCTTTATCATCCTATTTTCCCAGCCCCAATTTGAACTGCTGCCAATGAGCTCCAAATTTGGTCCTGGATACAGTATGTGATCAGTCTTAATGGGACTAGAGCTTCCAGAACTAGACATGTTGTCTAAACAGCATAATCAAAGGAATATTTGATTCCTCACTGGCCTAATTCCTGTCTACATTTTCATTCATTTTTTAACCAAGGATCCAAATGCAGTCCTATTAAGGAATGAACAAGATTCAGTGCGAGGGAGTAATAAAGAGAAAGAACATTTTGGGTTGTTAAGTCTTTAAAGACTTCTCTTTAAACATGTGACGTTTCAATTGAGAAGTAAAGGCTGGTGGGAGTGAGCGATGTGTGAGCTGTGTGAGTGTGTGGGAGGACAGAGATATGTTCCAGGCAGAGAACATTTGTAAAAACTCGGAGGCAGCAAAAAGCAGGAACTTCGGAGGAAGTGAAAGAAAGTCTTTCAGCTAAATAATGAGTACAGAAGTGAAGGAGATGAAGTGAGAGGGAAGACTGGTCCATTCTGAGGGCCTTATAGGCTGTATCCTGCATGGGAAGTTTTGTAAGAGTAATGGAAAATTCTTTGAAGGATCTAAGCAAGAGATAATGTAGTTGTTTCTTCATCATAATCTTCAAAATAACCATGAAAGCAGATTCTATTATCTGGCCCACAGTTACACCAAATAAACTGAAATGCAGAGAAGTTAAACTGCAAATGTATTTTTTGAAAGCACCAAAATGTGATTCCAGAAACAATACCTTTAACCATTCCATTACATCTATTCAACAAAAATACAGAATCTAATCTTTAGCAATTTGTAGGATATATGGACATTTGTACACACTAAAAAGAAATAGATAAGATGATTTACAAGCTTCTGGGAGATCAAAATTATTTTCTATTTATAACTTGATATTGCCAAATTTAGGAAATGTATTCAACAATCCAGTCAACTCATTCTTCTAGTTTCTGTACTGAAATTCTAAAAGTTTAGTGAAGATTGATCATTTCAACCATCAAGTATCTTTTCTGTGTGTCTTACATAAATCAATTCAACAATTCCACCCAAACCAGATAATTAAAAATAGATCGCAGGAAAAAGTACTAAGAAGTAAGAAAGTTTCACTACTTTATGAGAAAACTTTTCACAGACTTGAGAACAAATATATTAAACAAGTTACTCTATGCATCTAAGGATATAACAAATGGACACATAATTTAAACAAAAATTCATTACTGACTTTAAGAAAAATTTCTACCTCAGTTACTTGCTACTTCCCTACTAGTGTCTGTTGCTCTTCCTTTAGAAACCAAAATCCATATATCCTGCTTCTCTGTATAAAACGGTAGGGATCACAATTTTTAAAATACATTTTTATAAAAGCGATTTATCTTCCATTTGATCATATTCTATACCAAAAAAAAATGTGCCATAGGTTCTGAGTTATGCCTAACAGCAGGTGCAGAGGTCTTCAAAGACCCAATGCATGAGTTCGCATTTCCTTCACTCCACCTACCTTTTGTAGCATCCTGTGTAAAAGTTTTATGTTTTTTCCTATGGAAACTCTCCTACCCACACTATTGCAACTTCAATCTGGTTTAGCAATCAAAATACATGGTGCCTGCCTAGTATATTTTTTGTAGGCCTATTAAGGAGAAACGGTGACAGTCATGCTTGATTGAGCTTCACTTTCTTTCACTTGTGAGGGAACTACTGCTTCTGCATTCATTCAGCCATGAATGCTTGGCTTTTTCATTACAGTTACTAGGACACTCAGAAAGGAGGCCTTCTTTGTTTTTTATTCATCTCCAGAAAAACAAGAACATAAAATAGCCCTGGAATCAGTTACTTGTCTTCATGCTCTGGGCAGAGACAGTTTTTATTAAAGTGACAATTTTAAAAGGGTAGCAACTTAATTCACGAGGCTATCTCCTTAAGGATTAGCCTTTAAAAATTAAGAATAAAAAGGTTTATGTAATCATCAGATGGCTTAACGTGATTTGAATCAGTTGGATTCAACAGAGAATAATTAAGTGTAAGAACTTCAATATTTCGCTTCAGTCACTTCCAAATTGAGCTATTTTCTTTTACTTTTCTTTATTTATTTATTCATTTTTGGTATTTTGGGCCACACATGACAGTGCTCAGTAGTTACCCCTGGCTCTGTGCTCAGGGTTCACTCCTTGTGGCATTAAGGAGTCTATATGTGGTACTGGAATCAAACACAGGTTGGCAGCATAGAAGACAAGGATTTTGCTGTACTATCTCTCCAGTCCCCCAAAATGGATTTTTGAATTTACTTTTGACCGTGAAAGAAATATCAGGTGGGTTCTTTAGGTTTTCTGATCTGTTTCAATGACAAGAACAGTCCAATTTATGTGATAAAAAATATCTATCTGATCGAGCATGGCCAACTAACTCAAATGTTGTTCATTCACTATAAAATGTACTGACATCAGTTACAAGACAGATCTCCCTAAATCACTCTACATCTGGAAACCTTCCTCAAAGTAGGAATGAGCTTGAAAATGATTTTCCCCCAGTTGCCCTTCCCTCAATACTAGTTTCTGCATCAGATCCCTCAAGAATCAAGTTAATAGGGATGAGATTAAAAGGTGGATACAAGTATAATTTTGTAGTTCTTGGTCTCTTAGTTGTCTTTTTCCAAACCCCACTCCTTTCTATTTCCCAATGGTGGCTGAAGTTTGCATTGATCACCAATTCTTTTATATTACATCAAATATCTTCTTTTCTACAGATTGAGTGCCTACATAAAACTTCTTTCATGTGCTCTACAGTTTCAAGTATGCTCAAGAAGCACAGTCAGCACCTAATACAGTTTAAAAAAACTATATCCTATTATCTTTAAAGCTGAACCTCAAAGCACTTTACATATAACATTCTATATGACTGTCAACAATATACAAATACCTATGACTATGTATATCATTTGGTAGATATAAATTATAAAAATATGCTGTAATATCAACAAGGCTAAAGTAATTTGTGGCAATGCATGTATGTGATTTGAATGCATGTGTGGGTGGTCGTATTTATTAAGTATTACCCACATTTACTAATAATGAGATCATATATATATTAATGACCCACAAACAGGTTCCATTATATAAACACTCTTAATCCTCGCAGAAACACTATGAATTAGATTCAATTATTACCCTTCACTTAATAGAGGAGGTTAGTTAGAGGTTTATGAGTTTAAGTAACTCTTGCCCAACATTACACACCTGGTCAGTGGTACCACTGAAACTCAAGCGAGGTGCCACTGTTAGATGTTTGGTTCACTGTAATTAGTATGTTAGGCCGCCTCCTCTTGGGAATGTAACAGTATGTTATTAGCTTAAGTAATGACTGTAGCTAGCTGTACTATTTAAATGGATGCTTGCATCTATAGCCAAAGGTTTGCCTAGATAACTGGCTATATCGGCAACTTTCATCTCTTAGTTATTGATAGAAATCTTTCACTTGGGAGGTGTGTCCTGGGTACAGGTCTGTGCATGGATGTAATCCTCTTACTAACAATACAAAAAGAAAAAAAAAGTCCCAAGTTCTCAAAGCATTTCCATTCTCCCCCACATGCCTTCTTGCCTATTATATCAATAATACAGTCAACAATGTTGTAATCACATATCTTCTGACAGTTAATGAAATTTATAGCTTATTTAATTATGACCTCCACGATTCTTCTCTGCATTTTGAAGTACAGCTGACAAAATAAATTTATGGTATCTTTAGGGATTGAAAATAAACTGATTATTTATAAAACAGCTCAGGAGTAAAAAAAAAATGCTTCAGTCAATAACATTACCAAGTAGGTCATCCACAAGCAACATTTGTATTATGGTAAATTCAGAGAGAATGAATTTTCTATATAGATCAATATAAGGCAATTATAAGATATAAAGCATATATCATATAAAGCATCATTTCAATATGATGCCTTGATAAAATGAAATTCTTGGCTATCAAGACTATGGGAAATTCCATGGCAAGGTTCAATGGAAAAGAAAGATTGAAGACAGACATAGACTGTCCATTGGTAGAATATAAAATAAAGTACTATGAGACTAACACTTAAGGACACTAGAGACAAGACCCAGGAGGATTGCTCCATAGGTCAAAGCCTGCTACATTTACTGGGGAAGAATGCAGTTGGTATAGAGAAAGGATCACTGAGTCAAGGATAGTTGGAGGGATTGCTCAAGATGGGAGATTATCTCACAAAAAAAGAATGAGGACAGGACCTAAAATGGTCATCATCTTAATGCATTATTATTAAAGAAGTTGAATGAGCAAAGGATAATAAAATTATATTTGGTTAAACCACACTTTCCAATGATCCCGATTAATCCTATCCTAAATTTATCATTTACGGGTTTTCTCCCCTGATCTGTGCGGGACGGGCATGGAGGCCCAGCTCTGGGCAACAAAGCTGAACATCTCCTCATTCCAACCAGGAGACGTTCCCAACTCCTCGCCCAGTGCCAGGGACTCTTTCCGGAGCCGCGGCCATGAAATATTTTCCCACTATATATGCCATAGGAACCATAAGCTACCTTCTTAGATGGAAACTTCTGTAGTTTAGCTCAGCCACTAGAAACACAGTAGCCAATAACTCATAAGCCTATCTTAACTCACACTGCATATCAAGCAGAATAGTAACAGTGAACGTGAAGGACTAAACCACACTTGTCACAATGGTAAAGCAATGCAAAAGCCCACCAAACTTTCTTATTGAAGAGTCTAGCCCAGATGACACCAACAGTACTGTAGTGTTAGACAACCTCTCTGACAAGGAATTCAGAAGGGAGCTACTTAGGATGCTTAGGGAACTAAAAGAAACAATGGAAAGCAATGCCAATAGAAGACAAGAGGATTTGAAGGCAGAAATGAGGAAAATGCAATTGGAAATGTCAGACCTAAAAAATCTCGTAGGCGAATTGAAAAACTCAGTGGAAGGCCTCAGCAGCAGAGTAAGAGCTGCTGAGAACAGAATCAGTGAGCTCGAAGATGAAGTTCAGAGACTCTACAGAAAAGAGCAGAAAATGGAAAAGAGACTCACAATTCGGGAACAGATGGCAAGAGAAGATCGTGATGAAGGGAAGAGGGGTAACATAAGAATTATTGGAGTCCCAGAGGTACAGGAAGAAAACATTGATGAAGAAGAAACTGTCGAAGACATCATTGCTACAACGTTTCCAGAGCTGAAGAAAAGTTGTGACCACATCCAGGAGGCCCGAAGGGTACCAGCTAGAAGAAATCCGAATAAAAATACCCCAAGACACATTCTGATCAAAATGACCAAAACCTTAGAGAGAGAAAAAATTCTGAAAGCAGCAAGATCGAAGAAACAAATCTCTTACAAAGGAGCATCCTTAAAATTCACAGCTGATTTTTCTGATGAAACCCTCAGGGCCCGAAAACAGTGGTGGGACATAGTGAAAAAACTCAATGAAATAAATGCCTCCCCCAAAATACTTTACCCAGCGAGACTCTCATTCATAATAGAAGGAACAACACACCGTTTTACAGACAAACAACAGCTCAGGAACTTCATAGACTCAAAACCATGGTTACAAGAACAACTAAATGGGTTACTTTAAGGCAAGAAAGGCCCCTCAAATACACCAAATTTCAACAGAACAATGGGACAAAATCCCATAACAATAATATCTCTCAATGTCAATGGGCTAAACGCACCAATTAAAAGACATAGAGTGGCTGGATGGATTAGAAAATTGAACCCAACATTCTGCTGCCTGCAAGAAACACATCTCAATAGTCAAAGCAAACACAGACTCAGAGTCAAAGGCTGGAAAACAATCCTACAGGCAAACAGCTCCCATAAAAAAGCTGGGGTAGCCATCCTTATATCAAACCACATTGATTTCAGAGTGAGGAAGGTCATAAGAGACAGTGAAGGCCATTTCTTATTGATCAAAGGATCTGTACAACAGGAAGAACTTACAATACTAAATGTATATGCACCTAATGAGAGAGCAGCAAAGTACTTAAAACAACTACTCATAGATTTGGAAAAAGACATCAATAGCAACACAATACTAGTGCGAGACTTCAACACCACTTTGTCACCTCTTGATAGATCAACCAAACTCAAGCTTAGCAAGGACATACTTCATCTGAGGGAAACAATGGAAGAAAGGGACTTAGTAGATATATACAGGACACTTCATCCACAAAAAGCTGAATACACATTCTTCTCAAGCATACATGGAACATTCTCCAAGATAGACCACATGCTGAGCCACAAAACATGCCTCCATAAAATTAAGAAGATAGAGATTGTATCAACAATCTTCTCAGACCATAATGCGCTGAAATTAGAAGTAAATCACACACAAAAACAGACAACTAAACCAAACACCTGGAAATTAAACAGTGCGCTATTGAAAAATGAGTGGATTAGACAGGAAATCAAAGAGGAAATCAAAAGATTCCTAGAAATGAATGAAAATGAGAACACGAGTTACCAAAACTTATGGGACACAGCAAAAGCTGTGTTAAGAGGAAAGTTTATAGCTCTACAAGCATTCCTCAGGAAGGAGGAGT